TAGGGAACAGCTTTTAGTCTTTCACCATTGAGTATAATGTTGACTATAGGGGGGTTTTTTTGTGGCAGATCTTTATCAAATTGAGGAAATTCCCTCTATTCCTAGTTGTCAAAGCTTTTTCAATCGTGAATGGGGCCTGAATTTTGTCAAATGCATCCATTCATATTTTCATGTGATCTTTCTTCTTTAGCCTGTAAATATGATAGATTATATTGACTGATTTTTGAATATGGCATCCCTGGAATAAACCTCAACTGTCATAGCCTATAATTCCTTTTATTTTATTAAGGATTTTAAGTCCATATTCTTGAGGGATATTAGTCTATACTTTTCTTTTTCTACTGTTTTTGGGTTTATTATCAAGACAATATTATTTTCATAATATAAATTGGGAATTGCTCTCTATTGTATTTTCTCAAAAAAAATTTTAGAATTTGCATTAAGTCTGTTATAAATATTTGTTAGAATCATTCAACGAAACTGTCTAAGACTTGAGATTTCTTTTTGAGGGAGTTTTTAAGTTCTAAACTAGTCAATTTTTAAAATAGTTATGGGGCTATCCCAATGATCTAATTTATATTGGATGAGTTGTGGTAATTTGTGTTTTTTAAGAATTGGTCTGTTTCATCTTATTTGTCTAGGTTCTATGTTTAGTGTTTGTGGTTTTCCATTATTGTTTTCAGATGTCCACAAGGGTCTGTAGTGACATATCTAATTTTATTATGAAATTGATCATTTGTGTCTTCTTTCTGTTTTATTTGTCAGTCTTGCTGGAGGTCTGCCAAGTTTATTAATCTTTCCAAAGAAACAACTCATGGATTCGTCGATCTTCCCTATAACTTTTCTGTTTTCAGTTTTATTTATTTGTGTTTTTATCCTTATTACTTGGATTCCTTCTCTGATTTAGGGTGATTTTACTCTTCTTATTCTTGATTTTGAAGTTGGACCTTTGACTACTAGTTTGAAACTTTTTCTCTTTTCCAATATATGCAGTCCGTGCTGTCAAGTTCCCTCTGAGCACTGCTGAGTGCTCTCTCACAGATTTTGCTGTGTTGTATTTTCATTTTTATTCACTCCAGTGCATTTTTTCCCTTGAGACTTCCCCTTGGATCTAATGATATTTAGAAGTGTATTGATTCCTTTCCAAGAGTTTGGAGATTTTTCTGTTATCTTTTTTTGTTTTCTACTTTGATTTCATTTGGTCAGAAAACACACTGTATTATTTCATTTGTTTTTAATTGTTGAGATTTGTTTTATAGGCCAGGATGTGGCCTGTCTTGGCATCTGGTTGTGGGCACTTGAAAAGAATGCATATTCTACTGTTGTTGGGTGGTATGTTCTAAAAATGTCCATTAGATCCTGTTGTTTGATGATGTTGTTGAGTTCTATATTTGTGCTTATTTTCTGTCTAGTTGTTTTATCAATTGTTGAGAAAAGTGTGTTGAAGTTTACAACTATAATCATAGCTTTGTCTGTTTTTCTTTCCTATTTTACCAGTTTTCACATTACACAGTTTGCAGCCCTTTTGTTTGGTAGATACACATTCAGGGTTGTTATGTCTTCTTGTTGTTTTGTCTTCTTTTTATCATTTTGTGATGTTCATCTCTATCTCTGGTAATTTTCTCTGCTTCAAAGTCTCATCTACTTGACATTGATATTGCTTTCTTTGATTAATTTTTGCATGATATATATTGTTTCCATCATTTTACTTTCAACCTGTGTATATCATCTTGTTTGAATTGAGTTCTTTGTAGATAGCATATAATTGAGCCATTTTTTTTTACTTCACTGTGCAAATGTCTGCAATTTAATTGATACATTCAGACAATTTACACTGAATTTAGTTATTGATATGCTATGGTTTAAGTCTGCCATTTTATATTTTGTTTTCTGGGTTTTTTTTTTTGCTTTTCATTTCTCCTACCCACATGTGTGTTAGTTAAACAAAGTTTAGAATTTTGACTTACCTAGTGTTTTTCAGTGTATTTCTTTATGTAGTTTTTAGTGGTTGCTTTATATATTAAATTATACATACACATCACAGTCTACTGGTATCTTCATTTTACCAGTTCAGGTGAAGTATATGAATATTACCTCCATTTTTGTACCTTTATCCTTACTTATTTATAATATAATTTTCTTAAATATTTCTTCTGCATACATTTAGAACCACATCAGATAGTGTTTAATTTTTGTTTTCACTATCAATCATGATTTAGAAAACTCCAGAGGAGGAAAACCAATTATTTTTGCTCATATTTTTTATTACTAAATTCTTTCTTCCTTTCTAAAGTTCCAAGGTTCTTCTTTTGTCACTTCCTTTCTGTTTAGACAATTTCCTTAGCCATTCTTTTAGGGTAGGTTTACAGTTGAAAATTACCTTAGTGTTCCTTCATCGGATTCTATTTTTATGTTCCCTTCATTCCTAAAAGATATTTTCTATAGATATAGGATCCTGGGTTAACATTTCTTTAATTCAGCCATTAAAAATATTGTGCCCCTTCCTTCTGACCTCCATGGTTTCTGATGAGAAACTCACTTGTCAGAATTTTTTTCCCTGTCAGTAAAGTTAAGTTTTTCTCTTGGTGCTTTCAAGATTTCTTCTTTGTCTTTGGTTTTCAGAAGTTTGCCTAAATGTGTTTTGGTGTGGATTTCTTTGTGCATTTCCTGCTTGTGGTTTGCTTAGCTTCTTGAATCTGTATGCCTTCTGCTAAATTTGGGGAGTTTCCAGCCATTATTTCTTTGAGGATGTTTTAAGCCTTGTCCTCTTTATCTTCTCTTTCTGGGATTCCGGTGACATAAATGTTTTACCTTTTCTTATAGTTCCATGGTTGCCTGAGTCTCTGTTACTTGTTTCTTTTTTAAGCATATATTCTCTGTGTAGTTCAGATTGGGTAATTTTTATTGTTCTAGCTTACAGTTCACTGATTCTTTCCTTTGACCCCTCCAGTTTCTAAGAAGTTTCAGCTATCATATTTTTTAGTTATAAAATTTTCATATGGTTATTGTTTGTATTTTCTTTTCTTCACTAAGAATTTTAACTTTTTAAAATTTATTTCAGCCATGTTCATAATTGCTTATTGAAGCATTTTCATGATGGCTGCTTTAAAATCTTCATGAAGTGATTCTAATATGTCTATCATCTTGATGTTCACATGCATGATTGTCTTTTTATGTTCAGTTTGAGATCCTCCTGCTTCTGTATATAGCATGATTCTCAGTTGAAATCTGGACATTTGGGTATGATGTTATGAGACTCTAGATCTTATTTATACCTTCTGTTTTAGCTAGCTTCCTCTAACCAACAAAAACACTAACCAGCAAAAAACAGAGGGATAGCTTTGTCTCTGCCAGGTCTTGGTAGAAGTCCAGGTCTCCCCATTGTGGCCACCATTGACACCTGAGTGGGAGGGCTCTTTGTTACTTCAGGAAGGGGGTGAGAGTTTCTGTTCTTCAGTAGGCTTCCACTACTACCTTCCTGGCTAGGAAGGGTTTGAGTGCTTTTTTACTGCTCCCGTCATGGCTTATGCTGGCTTATAAGTTAGAGGAGAACGAGGTTATCTTGTGAATGCTTATCTAATGTCCTGATTCTCCAATAGACCCCCTTTGTGAAGGATGCCCATTACTCTTAGGTTGAGGTGGATCTCCAGGATCCGAATGAAGTCTCCACTGATGCTGCTTTTGGTGGGAGTAAAGGGACCGTGTCACCCCTTGGCAAGGATGAACGTCTCAATTCCCTACTCAGACTTTCCTGGGGCTGGGAAGAGGACGTTGTGGCACATTGTTCTAACCTAGCAAGGATGGCACAAAGCTCCCCACTCTGCTTTGGCAGGTATGGGGTAGTGTAGGTGTTTGCGTGGTGCTTGACTGAAGCAAAGTGATACTGTCCCAGTGCTTTCTGTCTCTCTAGCCTGCTGCTTTCCTAATTTTTGGTTAGAGAGAATCAGCTTTTGTTGGGGATTTTTTGTTCTGCACCATTTGATGTCTCTGGGTTGCAGGCTTCTTCAGCTCCAAATGTTGGATGTATGAGGGAAAATTAAAATCCAAGGAACTCACCACTATATTGTTCCTTGGGTCCTGAGGTCCCTAACTGGGCTGCCTTCTCTCCTTCTTTTAGAGTTGTCTCCTTACATTTGTTTTATGTACAATGTCCAAGTTTTTTAGTTGTACCTAGCAGGAAGATTTACAAAAAGCTACATCTCATCAGGTTTCCTGGAAGTGAACATCTCCTGTGTCTCCTGTCATGTTTTGTTTTGTTTTTTAATTGAGAGGGCAATATATAGTTTTCAAATTAGGTTCTTAAGGAGTCAAACAGAATTATGAAAAACTGATTAACATATTTTTTATTAAAAAGAGAAAATTTAAAACAGCAAGATGACAAAAAGCATCTCTATCTGTAACTTATTTTTTAATTCCATTTCACTTCCACATTCCACTTCCTGTTAGTTTGTTTCTTGCATAGTCTGCCACTAATATGCTCTTTTAAGACCTACAACACTTTTGTTTAGAAGTGAGCTTTTCTCACTTGAAAGTTCTTACTAGATGACTCCAGCATGGGGGCATGTCCATTTGATTCATTGCTATTCCAGTGTCTATCACAAGGCCTGGCCACATACTAGTACTTAATAAATATCTACTGAATAAGTGAATGAGAATTCAAAATTTAAATTTTTCTTTCTTTGAGGACTTGTCTACTTTCTTCTTGCAGTGCTTAGCATGGGGAACACGTGTCTGCTATGTTTGACACCACACCAGCCACTTTAAGGCATGTGCTTAGGACGTTAGCAAAAGTTGTCCAGAATTTTGCAATCTAGAAAAAAAAAAAAGCATTTTAAATTTCAACACATGTGTAAATTTTATTTTATGGTTTAGAATTCTTTGTATACTGAATTACAAATTGGGAGGACACCAGAATGTTTCTTTCCCAGGCACGTGTGTTTAGGTGCATTCACTCCTACCACTCCTAAAGAAAGTGACCCAAAAGCCATGGCTCATAAAACGCCACAGAGTTTTTCAGGATATGTTTCCTAGATATTGGATTTTTTTTTGATGGTTTTCTTTTATTAAGCAAGTCATGGTTTGATTACCCTTTAAAATCTTTGTTATGTATTGTGCAGTGTGTGTGTGTGTTTACATAGAGCAGGGGTAACATCAGCCCATAATTTTGTAAGGCACTGAATATAATTTAAAAATTTTTGCAAACACAATTATAAAGATTCACCCGTCACTGAAAAATTGAAACATTTTTTAATGCAGGTAGAACATGATTCCTTTTAGTACTACTGAGTATGTTTGGCTTAAGTACTAAGACTTGCTTTCCTATTTGGCTTTAGATTCTGCTTAAGGAAGTAGTGAAAGATTTAATTCACCGTACTTTTGTTAGAAAGTATGGAAATGTTTGTCCATGGGAACTTTTGTCACTTGCTAGAATAGAAATTCATTGGGAAGAAGGAACATTTTCATTGTATTGCCCAAGAGCCATTGATATATTCCCTGCATCTTTCAAAGGCATCTTTCATGCCACACAGGAAAACTGTAGTTAGTGAAGGAACAGAAAGAGCACTTCTTACATGAGTGAGTCTCAGCGAACTTGCACAGCAGCTGTGCTAGGTACTGATGAGGATTACCACAGGACCCAGTTTCAGGGCTTCCTGTGGCTGAAGAGACAACTGGCTCCCTCGGGGGACCACTTTGATGGAGACTGCAGCAATAATGCATCCTCACTCTTGCTAGTGGATCTTGTGGCCATGTAGTACAGAACTGGTGCCAGATAAAGTCGGAAAGTAATAAAAAGCAAGATGAATCTCCGAGATTTTAAATCGTCATGTGAAGAACTAAAACAAACGACCTGGGCGTGACGCATTCACTCATAAGGAAAAAGAGGCAGAGGAAGGTTGCCTTTAACTCAGAAAACTTGCAGAGATTTCAGGCTTTTCATTTGAGAACCATTTGGGTGTGTTGTGAAATAAAGTTGCAGAGTAGGCATGTTCAGACCTTTATTTGCTACATTTAGTAAGAAAGATTCTCACCCCCCCCCGCCCCACTTAACTACAAGAAGCCAGAGTTTTCTGTGCAAACTGAAACAGGCGTTGCAAGAATCAGATTCACTCTGGACGACTCTTCACATTCCAAGTCATCATTGCATTAGGCAGCACAATTCCATCTCTGGTTGATGGGCAGAAAAAGTGGGCAGCTTGCCAGGTAGACGTTTCCATGACTCCCAGCCCCCAAAGGTGATGCGTTTTTCAGCTAATTCAATGAAGAGTGGGCTGAACTTTGGGTCTAAACGAGACAATAGCTGCCTTCGCAGTATCAGCAGAATGGTTGATGGGAATGCACTCTACATTTGGCAGAGGATCATGTGACCTTACGACTGAGATTTTGTGATGGTGCCAACAGAGACTTGGAAAGCAGCAACCGTCCTGACTTTTTTCTTCTTTTCTAGCATGGCTCAGAAAATGGTGGATCTTAATACTTGACTTTAGCCAGACTCAGCAAGCGACTGAGCTTTGAAGCACAACTTCGCCTTTATTCTGGGTTTTTGGCAGGCCACCAGGAGGCTGTCCCTTTCACGCCTGATAAATTCTGCTGCTTATCTCTAAATAGGAAAAAAAAGAAAAAGAAAGAACATATAAACAGAATATTGAGGCATAATAAGTGAATCCTAAAACTGTATGTGCTTTCTTGTTTTTTGCCTTTTCTTACTAGTGATTGTTTTTAATGTTAATACCCTTTCTGCTTGTTGAAGAATCCAAGTAGGCTTTTTTCTTTTTTTTTTTTTTTTTTTGGTTTATAATGAACAGGCATTTGAACTGGGCAAACAGGACGACAGCAGCAGTGAGCATGAGATCATTGCAGCAGCGTAGCAAACTGGCACCCTGCCTTCCTGCCTTCTCACCCTTTTGGTTCAGGAGACAAACGTGTGCAATCCTCATTTCTAAAGTCAGCACAGCCTGGAAGGATTCCTGGTCTCTCCCACCTTCTACCATTCTGCTGCCAGGGACGGCAAGGATTGGTGCAGCTTCTGCGCAGTGCTTTGTGCCTGGAATACCGAGAAGGAAGAAAAAGAAGACAAGCACCCTGGACCTTTTTTCCAAGAAATAACAAGAGCCATGAAGGAAAAAAAAAAATCTGAGTTTGTCCTACTCTATGCAACAGTGCTGAAAAAAAAGAGAGCGAGGGAGAGACGGTCCTGCTCAAAAACAAAAACAAACAAACAAAAATCCAAACCAAAACAAACCAAAAAAAAAAATTGGCTTGTATAACTACAGAGACATCGGGCTTTTTAAAGCAGCTTGTAAGGCAACATAAGCAAATGAGCCTTCTCTATTTGTATTATTTCAAAAACATGGCAAAATAAGCAATATATTGCACTTGGTGAAATCGCACCTTTCATATCAGGTATAACTTTTTTTTGTTGTTTCTTTTTTAAGCCTACTGTTATATAAAAGTGGATCCTTGAACTTTCAGTTTACTCTTATTTAACTCATCACCCACTTTACTCTTATTAACTTTTTCCTTTTGCTCTCTTGCTCTAATCCTGATTAGAATAGAAACTTTAAGAAAAATGGAAAATTCTCTATGAAAAAGATTTTGTCATACATAGACGTTTTGGAAGGACATTAATATGTTGTCTGGGCTTTTTGTGTACAGTAGTAGTTTTTGCTCTCGAAGAAAAGTGAGCATTTAGCCCTAGTTGGTAAAGAAACTAAATCTTTCAAGTGCTGTGACTCATAATTTGAAATGTGAAAGAAGAAACTTTCTGAACTTCTACAAAAGGGTCATATTAGAATATTTATTAAACTTCTAATAAATAAAATTTAGTTTGGGGGAGGTTATTTTTAAATTTCAGTGTAACAGACTTCAGCGTAACAGAAATAGGTATGAAAAGATCATGTTCTCAGTTGATAAGTAGAAAAAGAAGCTTGTTCCACAATAATATTGACTTTTAAAACATATTTATAAGAAGCATTTGTCTTAGAGCTATTGCAGAAAGGGTTAGAATTATCCATTAAGTATTCTAGTGGAAAAAGTATCTACAAACTTGTTTTAAGTTTAAAGCAGTGTATTGGCTCAGCAGATAAATGCTTTGCATTCTAACTGTTTTGTCTGTTTTCAGAAGTAAATTTCTAAGCAGTTTAAGCATTTTATAACAAAAACTCAGTTTTGCCTGGTTCAATGGGAAAGGATTAGCCTACGTATTCACCTATTTTAAGATTAAAACAGTTTCTAAACATATTTAAAAACTGTTAAAGCGAGAAATGCCCTGGAAATATATGGCGTATATAAATAAAGACTATAATTTGCATGTTAAGAATTGATGCTATAATATTCTCCATGAAAAGAATGAACTTTAAGCAAACTGTTATGCTTTTAAAATCATATTTTATTATAATAAAAATATATAGGGTAAACAATGAGAAAATATTATAGAACTGATGAGTTCTACCTTGTTTTTTGTTATCCTTTGAAGAATTATGGGAAATTAAAAATACCCTGTATACTGATAACATTCAAATAACCCGTTTTATTAAGTTTATTGGTTATTATTCACTAATTATTTTAAAAATAGCTCTTGTTCCTTTATGCTGCCTCAGCTAATGGAACATCAACTTTCACAGGCTTAATTAACATTTATAAACCTGTTTTCATGTTTCAAGATCCTTTAGTTGAAAAACATTATTTTAAATGTTATTTTTAGGAGCCATTAATTTCTACACTCTTAATTATCTTATTAAGCTCCATGCCAAATCCAAATCTCTTTTCAGCTTTCACTAGTTCATTGTGCAAAACCTAGTCGCTTCTTTAACAGCCATGCCTCCTTTCACTTTCAAAACTGATACTGTGAAAACAACACCAACCAAAATGAAGGCATAAATGCAAACTATGAAACCACATTATATGTCATATGAGTAGCCTTGGGTGGGGCTCCATGAATCTTCCAAGCCTTTAAAAAAAAATACTTTAAAAGGTTTTGCCCATTTTGATACTGTATTTTCTTCTCGATCGTCTACCTTCATTCCCACCATCCACCCAGATTCTCCAACTAGGCAGCAGTTGTCTGATATTTCTCCTTTTGTGGTTGTTTTAGGGAAAAACTTAAAATGGATATGAGAAGTGAAGAAAGTGATCATAGGAGAGAAAATCATCTCAGGTAAAAAATATAAAGCAAAAGAGCAATTAACATTTAATACTTTTAAAGAAAAAAATAATTTTGACTGTTTAGTTATAAGAATTTGTTTTATACTATTTATGGATCTAGCTATTAGAATTGTCATTGATGGTTTGAGGATTTTTATTACCTACCTTTGCAGAAAATTTTTGTCTGAGTTTGTGATCAATGTACAGTTTGGGTCCCTTTAAATATAGATCTGTATATCCATTCATACAACAAAGGTGAAATAAAGTGGAATAGAAAGTAATTTAGGCAAAGACAAAATAGGTTTTTTCATTTGTCATATACCAAGTAAAAAGAAGTGAAATCTGGGGGGAGGGAATAAAGTCGTGCTCTTTTTTTTTAATGATATAATAAGAGAATGAAACCAAAATATACATTCTTATAGTTAATGGTAAAATCCAAAGCAAATGTTGCCTTTTGTTTTGTTTAAATTTATGAATATATGTTAAATATTTTTACTACATTTGAATGCATAATTGGTAATCTTTTTACTATAGTTTTTAATAAGTATGGGAATAATTAGAAAACAAATAGTAGTAAAAAATTATGTAGATCACAATATCTATGTATAGTCTATGAAACACATTTCATTTTGTTTATTTCAAAACAGGCAAAAACACTAATTTTCTAAATATTATTATTTTTCACAATGAAGATATAATTAAAAATACTAAAGATTGTGAATATGAGTGAAACGATTAATGCTGTACAACTTATAATTTTGTTGCTGTTGAGCTTAGAAACTTAAAAAACGTGTACGTGGCTGATTTTATGTTTACTCTTTGTGTGTTTGTTTATTGTTTGGTGGTTTAAATTTTTTTTAATAATAATTTATTTTTGCCCAACCTGTTGACCAGATAAGAGTTGTATGTAGCCATCTATTATGTTTTAAGTATATCCTTTTTGAAAAATAAATTTAAACATATTGTGTTTAAGAGACAAGATATCCTCTTTTATGCAATAGATCTGTAGTATACATGTTAGCGCGCAGTAGTAGTAATAATGCTATTAATGTGTCATTCATTTTTGTTTTCTGATATTAATTTATCCAAATATTGTCCATTTCAGTATTATTTCAACTATAGACACATATGTATATTTGAGACTTTTAAATAACTTCCTTTGTGCTCTGCCTAATCAACAAAATCTTAATTGTTTTATGAGAAAGTTATAATATTACCAATTTCTTGAAACCACTAACAGGTTTTATGAGTTAAAACAAGCAGTCTAACTCTTACACAATTAGCTTAATAGTTAATTTGGCCTTAATTATAGGCTCATAATACTACATTCATGTTTGACAATTATATAATTCATATATGCATGTATGAATTCTTTTTTATTTTCTTTTAAAATTCATCATGAATTAGAATAGTCTAATTCCAAAATATTCACTCTTAAAACAAAAGTGATCTGTGAAAAATCTTTCATTATAGTAGTTTTAAAATTCTCATGTATATAATCTGTATTTAGTTTAGAATATTTATGAAGGCCTTTAACTGGGAATATGTATACTTCAAGCATTTCAGCATTTAAAATATTTATGCTAAAAGATTGATACTATTTTTGTCTCCTAATTTCATCAGATATTCACAATAAATTCTGCATTAGTAGGGAGCTCATGTGAGATGTTGCCCATTGGCATAAACCCGTAGATCCGATCTTGTGGTGAAGTGGACCGCACAAGCTCGCTTCTATGGGTCTGTGTCAGTGTGGTAATCTGACAAAAAGCTATGCACAATGCTGTTAAATAATATTTCAGTCAAATCCCTGTTAAACTCTAGTTGGTTACTTTTGAAGTGATTATATTTTCCTTTGGTTTTCATGTCTATATTAATCCTCACCTGTTTTACAAGGCAGGCTTCGATTGTCGACCACTTGGAAGAGCTCATAGCCCAGCCATTCAAGTTTAAATCCAAGTATAGTAAATTACTTAAGAAACTTGAATTTTTTATAGCAAGGTTGGAACCAAGATCTGAACAGATCCTGTTCAGAAACTTTTGCTCACATTCCAGTGGTTAGTACACTTCATCAGCTTCAATGAGAAAATTAAAGGCTATAACTGGATTTATGTGTTACTACTGAGCCTATTTCCCTTGAAAAATGAAGCTGAATGCTATTGACTTTGAATATTATTAATTGCTAGTAGAACTACGCCATGAGAGATGTCAGGGGACGTTTTATATAACCTATGCTGAAAACCCAAGAGGCTAGGATAGTCCTCGTAAACACATAATAAGTTTATTGGTAAAATGTTAGCATATTATATCTGCATCCTTGCCAAGTCCGTAGGTGTATGGCCGCCATTTTTGGAGGAGCTGACTGAAGATATGATAAGGAGTTTGAAGCAACTTTGAAAGCTGTGTGCATCCGGGTTGAGGTAGTAGGTTGTATGGTTTAGAGTTACACCCTGGGAGTTAACTGTACAACCTTCTAGCTTTCCTTGGAGCACACTTGAGCCATCGAGGAATTCTTCATCACTTTAATATGATTGAGCCGATTTCTGTGCAAGAAGGTAATGTGTCATGAGTATTTTGGGTAGCTAATTTGAGCTTTTCGGGCATTAAAATTATTCTTCCATCCATGCATATTAGATTATTCCATTTGCATCTACTTGTAAACTCTGGCAAGATGGCTTTTCTAATAGGTTGTTACTCTATCAAACATTTTTAAGAACTGGTGAGTAACAACTTCAACTGCATTAATATTGCAGCTTTTATTATCCATAGACTCACAAAATTTGGCACTTAATTTTGGAAACTGATCATTGGCCTTTCTATTTTTATTGGCTACTTAGACACTATAGTTAAAAAAAAAGTGTGTTAGTGTCAGTGACTTCCATAGCACATTATTTAAGTCCTTCTTATGACACATCACTTTCTCCCGTATGTTATGGCTATCTATGTGCTTGTTTATTTTTTCCATACTAGACTGTAAGCCCCTTGAGGGCAAAGTCCATGCCTTATTTTTCATTGTATCCCCTGCAATGCTTTACACATAATAAGAACTATTTATTTATTGGATGAAGGAATGGAGTAGAAGATCTCACTCTTCGATGAGTTTCTATCCAATATTAGAATGAATGACTACAGTGGTCATAAATCTAAGCTTTATTTGTCCTAAAATTTGCCTAAACTTAATTCACAGACTACTGTGCATCAGTAATATACCTGACTTATTCTTTGACTGTGTTGAGTATGTCTAGCCCTCCTAGACACATGATTTAAAATTTAGGGCTGTTTTTTTCTGGAGTGAAAAGAATGGACCACGTTCATTTTTAGTAATAAGTTCATTACAGTTTATAATACTACATTTAGGTTATGACTATTTCTTTTGACTTTTTAAAGTTCTTGATTTCCAAATAAATGGTTTTCCTTTCAGCATCGATTTTATAAATCAGCTTTTTGTAATCTGTATGCTTTCCTTATCTTCTGCCCTTTATTTTTGTACAACTGTATCTGAATAAACCAGAAACAACTAAACCAGACACATGTCAAGAAATTAATAATAAATAAGTATACAAATTATAATTTGAGGATTAAATTTTTGTTTGGAGGAAAGGCACTTGTAGTATGCTGTTCGTACAAAGCAAATCAGTCTCTTTGGAGTCTATTAGCTTTGTGTCAACTTCAGCAGCAGGGAATGGTGTAATTTACATAGAGATGCTAGTTTATATAGATCACTTTTCAGTCACAAAATTAAATTGTTGTAGATGTTACAACTTTAAACTCCAAGCATGTAACATTGAATACATAAGAAAAGATTTTTAGGTACAAATATATGTTAAAAACTGTAAGATTCTGGCTATGTGGTGATGGACTTTCTATAGAATACTCTGGCATCTCGATATCTCAGAATCTAGAATTTTCCAACAACTGTGGGAAAGGAAGAACTTTTGAATCACCAACAGGAGGAACATGTGAGCCTTAGAAGGCTCGAATACCAGTGATTTCAAGCAAAATTATTTGACTGGTGTACAGAAGTTAAAAACTAGTAGTCTCTAAGAAAGAAAAGTCTTTTCAAGAACTAATCAAGAGATAATGAACAAGGGGAAGGAGACATAGACAAGAGAGTGAGAAAGAGATGAGTGAAAGAAACAGACAACTGAGTGGTAGACAGTTACATCTTTGTGAATAGTTGAACCCTTGAGAGCCTAGCTCCCCTTGCGTGTGTATGTGTGTATGCATGTATCTGTGTGTATTCCAGTGCTATGTGCATAGGTTTGGAGACCAAGTCATGTACGTGTTGATAGGCCAAATGGAAAACCATTGCCAATAAATGCCTGTTTGCATGCAGTGCAATAGAGTTAAGTGTATCGCAGAAGTCAACTATGATGTGCGGTTTAAGGATAATCTTATAAAAACACTAGCACAAATGCATAGAATTGTGGTCTCTTACCTACCCTATCTAAAGTGAACTGGTATTGTTTTTAAAAATAGCTGAAAAGTGACAAGGATGTAGCAATGATCCATTGTTTTAGTTTTGCAGACACCTAAAAGGCAGAGGATATAATTAGCATCAGTGAGAAAAAGAAAAATTTTCTCTTCAGGGTGAGAATACCACATGGGACAATTATGCTTTCTCTAGTGATTAATAGTAAATTTTGTCCCTCCAGCTATGGGGTTATCTAAAATACTGTATTTCTGTGAAAAAAAATGGCAAATGACAAGTATACAAACTGACAAGATTATTTTTAAAGAAACTAATATTCAGGGCCACTGCTGGTGTCTGTATCTAGAAATAATTAAATTATTGTCCAAGAAACCATGGGGAAACATCATACATTTAGAAAGTTAGCATTCAACTTGGGGACAACTATACAGATTGAATAATTCCTAAAAGAATTTTAAGTGGTCAAGTTTTACTCTATTCCAAGTTTTCCAATTTGGTAACAAAGGAAGTATGAAGATTTAGGAAACAAATATCAGCAAATCATACTTAACTGATGTGTCTTTTGACATTTGGGGACAGTAAGT